TGGAATGACAAATAGCAAGACTTGCATTGGCTACTAAGAAAGTTAGTAGCCGGTAGTCAACTGGTTAATGTGTATGCTCCGACTTCCATTTCTGAACGGATGTTTTTTTCAATAGTTTATATAAACTTTTTCCGGCTGATACTAATTTAGTATTTTGTCTTTTGTGATGCTGATATTAGTGTTAATGGGGAATACATATCCAGGGGAAGATGGTTTACCTTTGAATTTTATAGGTATTTTTTACCTTACTTTATTGATGATTTTGTGAGGGTTTTGGGTGAGATTTTCTCACGCAGTTTTTTACTTGACAGCATGAAGCGTGTAATTTTGATCCTGATTCCAAAGGAAGAAGATAGGCGGTTTCCAGAAAACTATCGTCCGATAACCTTACTTAATTGTGATTACAAGAATTTGACTAAAATATTAGCGACTCGATTATCTCGGGTCATAGCGAGTCTCGTGTCACAGGACCAGACTAGTTATGTTCCTGTTAGGGATGTGTTTGAGGTGCCCCTCCTTTTGAAATTTTTAATGGACTACTTGGAGCGAACACAAAGAGGTGTGATTTAACTAAAGATTGATCAAATGAAGGCTTTTGATCTTGTTGAGTACGATTACTTATTTCTATTGCTTCCGCGTTGTGGCTTTGGGGTCAATTTCCTGCGGTGGCTGAAACTTTTTTATTCCGTTATTTCTAGTATTATTAAATATAATGGTTATTCTACTGACACTATCAATATTACTCGAGGGGTGTCCTCTGTCGGCAATATTATACATTCTTTGTGCAAAAACCTTTACATTATATTGTTACGCCTCCAGTCGTTAGTTAATTTTCCGTAAATTCTTTCCGACGAAACTTTAGCAACACAAGTCTTTTCTTAACTAAAACTGGTTTATTCTTTCCGAATACAACTTTACGATACACTTAATTTCAACAGTCGCGCTATAACAAACGCTATAACAACGAACGTCTCACGTGCTCAACTTCAACAATACTCAGTTCAATTACACACTCTCTGACTACAGTTCAATTACTCATTACACTGTTCTCCCGTCACGTTGTGAACGTCTTATATATATATACCAGACTACCCCCAATCTAGTAGTCTCCCGACAATTCACGAAGGAACAGGATATTTCTAGAAGGAGGTGGCGTGATACTTGTCACGTGACCTCGCTGACGCAACAATATTATTTCCCTTCATTCTAGTCCTAAACAGTTTTATGGCCTTGATGCTAAACGTATCACCGTCGTTTCTTTCATTCCTAACCTTTTCTACTGTTTTGTTGCTAAATCTATCAGCTTTGTGTTTTCTAGTCTTAACTTTCTCTATTGTCTTGTTCTTAAATGTATAAGTTTTGTATCTTCTAAGGCTTAATTTTATCTGTTGTTTTGTTGCTAAATCTATCAACTTTATGTCGCCTAGTCTTAACTTTCTATATTTTTTGTTGCTAAATGTATCAACTTTATGTCGCCTAGTCTTAACTTTCTATATTTTTTGTTGCTAAATCTATCAACTTTATGTCGCCTAGTCTTAACTTTCTATATTTTTTGTTGCTAAATCTATCAACTTTATGTCGCCTAGTCTTACCATTCTCTACCTTTATGTTGCTAGACGTATCACTATCAGCCTTGTTTCTTTTAGTCCTAACTATATCTAACGTTTTGTTTCAGTGTCGAAAACCAGCGACAAACACGTCACTTTGGGCGGTCCAGTAACCCAGAATGGAATCAGACGATGGTTTACCCTAACACCACCACTGAAGCACTCAGGGAAAAGTTCCTAGAAATTAGTGTATGGAATTACGATAATTATAAACCCAGTGAATTTCTCGGAGAAGTAATCCTTGATCTGGCAAGTAGGTGTGCATAAATCTGCGCTGCTTGTAAGAAACATTGATAACGAGATTAAGCACTGATATCGACATTAAACTTTGATAACGAGAGTAGTAATGACAATAAGCTCATATATAAATGTACTTATAGAGAACAGTCAATTTTATAGGAAATTATGTCTGTCTTAATTTCAATACAGTTAATTGTTATGTTAGACCAACTCTGTTTTTAAGACGGAGAATACTTTATAATGTCCTCGTAGATTAAATCAAAAGTTTAACCTTCTCAGCGTTTCGAATAAACGTATATGATTTTAAGGGTTAAAACTTTACTCTACAATAGCCTCGAAAATGTGACACAACAACGTAATTATTGCGATCTGTCTTCATGTTTCTTTTTAACAATACGTTTTAGTTGCGAATTTAAATGAAGAAATAATGCCCTAACTGTTATGACAACTAAGCCTAATCAAACATCTCCGAGTATTTGGATTAATGAAATAACGACGCTTAAAATGATAAATTCTGTTTCTACAATTCATCAGATTCACAATGTCAGTAGAAAGAACTTACCGGCAGTCTAAATATTTATGGATGGCTAATTTGATTGTCTTACATTATAAATCAGTAAGACAGTTCTTGTACTACTAGCCCTGATAAATCTGCAATAGTGAAACTTTGATTGAAATAAAAACTATTTTATTATTATTGTTACGACAGCGGAAGTCACGCGATGCTGGGAGCATGCGCGCTGGAGTTTCTGGAAGGACCATGAATTTTCCTGGCAGCTCTAGTTTGTTCGAGGCGCCATCTTTTTAGTATATAGGCCTGGCGAGAAAAACGAGCGCGGGGGCATAGATTGAATAGATATGCAGATAGATCGAAGAGATAGATAACTGAGTCAAGTGAACAGTAGTAAGTAAAGTGTGTGAATCACTGTGATTTGTAGCGTGTGTCATAAAGGTTGTTAAGTTTAAAATGACTGTGGAAATTCTGTGTATTACAAAGTTGTATCGAGAAAGAATAAACTAGTTTTAATTAAGAAAGGACTTGTATCGCCGAAGTTCTTCGGAAAGAATTTATACCGGAAATTAACAAACGAGCAGATACGTAACATTATTATTTTTTGGAGAGTAAAGTTCGCGCACCACGTCGTTAGGCTAAAGTAACAAACATCTATACTTGACGCGCACTAATTTGATGTGTAAAATACTGTTCTTTAGGCTTAGTTGAAGTAAGGGAAGTGTATAGTAAGAGACCAGTTTAGTAGAAACAAATTAGACAGCAGCAAGTTAGCTTAGGAAATGACTTATATTGCTTCAAACAACAGTTACTGTGCATGTGAAACTAAAGGCCCTTGTTAAAGAAACGAAAGTTAGTTACTTATTAACATGGGGTCACAGGACTCCAAAGTATTTTTTCAGTGGAACTGTACTTAATAATATACTTGTTACGTATCCGCTTGTTTGTTAATTTCCGGTAGAAATTCTTTCCGAAGAACTTCAGCAATACAAGTCTTTTCTTGATTAAAACTAGTTTATTCTTTCTCGATACAAACTTTGTAATACACAGAATTTCCATAGTCAATACGTTCCTCATCACTTTAAACTTAACGATTTTTTTATAAACACACGCTATAATTCACAGCGATTCACACACTTTATTTACCGTCACTACTGTTAGCTTCTTTAATTACCTATCTATCCGATCCCACTGGTTTTTCTCGCCAGGCTTATATACTAAAAAAAGAAGGCTTCATGAACAAACTCGGTCTTCCCTGATAATTCATGATCCTTCGAGAAACTCCAGCGCGCATGCTCCCAGCGTCGCGTGACTTCCGCTGTCGTAACATACTTATAAGTATATTATTATATTCAAACGCTTAAACTAAGGTATGAGAATACAAAAAAGAACGATCAGTTATTACTACCAGTATAAAACCGTATGGCTTCATATAGACTTCGGAGTAGTAGTTAAAGGTTAAACATAAATAAACTTTTTCTTAAAAAATAAAACTTATCAGCTTTAAAATGTTTCATTGAATTAAATTAGATAGTAAAATATCATATTGGTAGGCATATTCTACAACCTCTAAGTTTATACACGGAAAAATGAGTTCAAAACTGTTAGGTTTAAGAATGATCTAATAGTTCACAAGATACTACAAAATCAATGACATCCCTAGAAATGTCCGAAAACTGGGCTTCAGGTAAAAGCTAAACGGACGAGAAGTGACTTTACTAGCTTTACTGGACGTTTTAATAAAGTTTTATAACATATAGACACAATGTCGGATTTTGGTTTCAGATGAATCCTTGATCGACGAGCGAGCAAGATGGTATAAACTGCACAGTCATGACAAGAATCGTTATCCACGTGACCCATCTGGGAAAACGCGAAATATCCTCGAAAAAAACGGAGCTGGCCGTAAGATGACGCGTTTGAACTATGCCAACGGTGAAGTTAAATTTGTAAGTCAATTTCTTTACCAGTGCATATATTTTGCTTAAATTTTCGAAGCAAGATGAAATACAAGTATTATTATAACATAATTTATTGTTATCACTACTTATCTAAAGCTTCCAAATAAATTATTTATTACCTAACTTACACTCAATTATAAGTTAATGCATAAGTCATTCTTCTCAGTCCTCAATTCAATTTGGCATGGTAATATCAGAAGGCTTAATGCATATGATGTAATAGATGTTAGTCCTCGTTGAAGTTCGCTGATTTTAGCAAATAACATGTTGTACGTTAGGCCTATTGAAATATACATTACTTTGGGTTTCTAACACACTGTACGTTAGGCTACAGTAGGAAAAATCTACAGTTGAAGACCAGTAATTTAACATGTAAAATACTGTACGTTAGGCTACACTAAGAAAACTCTGCAATTGAAGACCAGTAATTTAACATGTAAAATACTGTTCGGTTCGTTAGGCTGATCTGAAGTAAACTGATTATTCAACGTATTATCAAATATAACATTTTATCTTATTTTAGCTTTTGGAGAGAAATGTTACAATTAAAAACAAAGGTTATTTTATATTGAAAATATTAAATACTATTTAGAGTTCTTACATTTCTATAAAATTGCTACACAATTAATAACTTGTTTTGGGGTTTTCTCTCTTGTTTGGTAAAGTATAACCGTATAGAAAGGTTGGGTCCAGCAGTTATTTTTAATTCTAGTTTTCCTCTGTTGCTTTTATACATCATTTAGTCATGCTCTAAAAAGTTGATTGCTATTAGTTCTTGTGCTAACTAGATAAATAAAATACTTCTATAACTGTTTAATAATTAAACCTATAAAATAACAAATTAGAAGTAAATCACGCCTCCAACCGTCCATTTGCTTCGTCAATTTTACAGCATCCCGATCACCACCAAAAGTTCCATAAACTTTATCATCGTAAATCGGTGGCATCAACAGAATCTACAAAGGGTATGAAAAAGATTTTGTTTCTGTCTGTCTGATGTGAAGGTGTTGCACAGTGTAACGAGTATTGTTCTGTGTCTGTGAAACTCTCGTGGGCTTTGCCAAACTGCGCATGCTTGTCTCTGAATTATTATTTTCTTGTTGTGCCAGCTAAAAAAATTTTTGTAATAAAAGTAGGATCAGTAGAAATAGCAGTGTCGCCCTTACAACAATTATTTTGTGTTGTTGTTGTTGTTTTACGTTTTTATGAGATTTCAATAAGTTGAGTGAAGTTTGAAGTAAAGTTACGTATATTCTTCAAAAATAAAAAAAAAAAATTAGGTGGGCGTAGCCAAGTGGTTAGCGTGCTAGGCGTGTAAACTTGAAGATCAAGCGCTGGTGGTCCATTGAGGTGAAAAACGCGCTCCTCACTTTAGGGTCGTATATGCGCTATAAGAATTTCATATGCTATTAATGTTTACAACCCGATAACAAATATGCTGAACTTTTTGTTATTGGTTGTTTTATTTCTAATTTGGCTATTGCATATCAAGATATACATACACTACAGTGTAACAGTTAAATATTATTCAACGTTATTTGTATTTTTTACCATAAGAAACACCGTTTCTATCCATGTTACCTTATATAATATATTATTTACATTTACACCATGTCAAAGATGAAGGTATAATTAGAGTAAAAACAACTTCAAACCAGATGGCAATAAAGGAAATGAAGTTAGTGGAAGTAGAAGAAATAAATCAAATGTTGCCTGAGAGAAAAGTGTTCTTTCCTAATTCTATAGATCTGGCGTGGACTAAGGGTTAGCGTGCCGGACTTTGAGGCCATAGGTGCATGATAAGATACTTTCTGGTACTATGTGAGTTGGAGTTTAGTGGTAACCTTGGGACTTTCTGGTACTATGTGAGTTGGGGTTTAGTGGTAACATTGCGACTTTCTGGTATCATATGAGTTGGAGTTTAGTGGTAACCTTGCGACTTTCTGGTACTATGTGAGTTGGGGTTTAGTGGTAACCTTGGGACTTTCTGGTACCATGTGAGTTGGAGTTTTGTGGTAGCTTTGGGACTTTCTGGTACTATGTGAGTTGGAGTTTTGTGGTAACCTTGGGACTTTCTGGTACTGTGTGAGTCGGAGTTTAGTGGTAACCTTGGGACTTTCTGGTACTATGTGAGTTGGAGTTTAGTGGTAACCT